CCCAGCGTACGCGTATCGATTGCTGGACATAGTAGCTTGATTTCAATTGCAAAGTCTTTTTACGACAGACATTTATTTAACCAACCTATTGGATCTATCGAGAACATAGTTCGTGTTGTTGGAGCTGATGGACAAGTCGACAAGAGGTTCCATTCCTTGGATATGTTACCATAGATGTTAGTTTTCCAGAAAAGATGTTCGGATTCGGGGTACTTTAACAACCCTTACACTGTAGTTGTGCCCACGAACAGCTATAATCAGAGAGTACCAGTTATAATCGGAACTAACTTAGTGAAACAATGCAGAAATACATGTCAACAAATAGCGGACCAGAACTTCCCGCAAACTGCCAAAGTTTCATCTGCTTGGAAACGAGTATTCCAATTCGTCTAGTCAGAGGATCGATTTCTAAAACGACAAGACAGCTTGGGCACAATAGTAAAATCAACGAGTCGTCATCCAACCACTATATATAGCTTCACATGAAACGAAGATACAGATACTTATGGGATTGCCAAACCGCAGTTGCCAGGATCTTTAACCCAAGCTGTTGTGGAAACCAATACGGGATCTGATTATGCAAGTAGCTGGAATAGTTGTTATACCCCAGGACTTGTTTACAGTTATTATTCCAGCAAAAGCTGTTCTGCATGGCATCACTGAAGATCGCTAAAGACCTAATCACTCCTACAGCCACTGAGAACACTGCTACAGCCGACTGCAATGATGATTTCAGCAACTTATTTTATTTAGAGAATTAGAGGCAACAAATTTGAATGCCGAGCAGAAGTGAAGAACAATGGATATGTTAAAGAAGGTGTCATATGTGTTTGCGAGGGATCAGAGTTACCTCGGTTGTGCTCAAGATGTTGAGCATGAAAGACACTTGAGTGATAATAGTATCCCAGCACGGCAAGCATGAGTAGACGAGTACCACCAGGGCAACTCAATCGAAACAGGATAACTCAAGCTTAAAGAAGCTATCGAGCAGATGCTATCATCCGAAGTAGAAAGATAAATGCTAAGACGATTAGAGATGCGTATCCTCTCCCTCGTATTCCTGACACCTTGGAAACCCTGGGGAGTGCTCGTTGGTTTTGTTTGTTAGATCTCCAGAGTGGTTATTTTAAGCTTAGGGTCGCAGAAAAGGATAAACCAAAGCCGGTGTTGACAACACCCTTTGGTCTATATGAATTTAACAGCATGCCTTTCGGCTTAACCAATGTACCGGCAACGTTTCAAAGGAAGAAAATTTAATGTGCAATAGTGGAAATGGCCTCATTCAAATAGGGCCAGCGCCGCCCCCGGCCCCATTCAAATAGGGCTAGCGCCGTCCCCCGGTGTAAAATTTCAACGCGAAGTACGAAAGAGACATGAACTGCAAGAGAATTCACGCGGAATTTCGTTGTTAAATCTCGAGTTGAAGCATCTTTGAAGTTTACTAAGACTGGATCAATAACCTGTGCGTTAGGGTATATTTTTAGCATAGCACTTTAGCATGTTATCATGCGCCGTTTATTATTTAGTTTTTATATCTACTTTTTTCATACCACTGATCGAAGATTAATCCCTTTGCCTCAAATGATACCTTTTCTGCCTATGAATGCATTATGCGCTAAACAATGGCCAAATACGAAATTACGAACTAAGTTTTATTAAGGTGGTCAATCGAAATCGCAGTTTTTGTACCTTTCGAATTGATCATGATCATAAGTGCATTCAAACTTAAGAATTTTGATGTAATCAAGATCTGATTCTTCACCAGTCCTTCAAAGTCCCAATTTTCGTACTCGATATTCGTCCGTGAGCCGGCTACGAAAATTTACCTTTCTCCAGTTCCTCATTATCGCTTTTCCTGCGCGGACTGCGCACCCGTCATCATTGTTCTCCAACTAGTCTCAACTGGACACGTACTGATATAGATTGAAAAATCGACTGGGGAGCTTCGTAAAGTATCAGTTTAACCACCCAATTTTGTTGTTAAATCGCGATTTGAACCATCTCTAAATTTACCCAAAGACTGACTAAACTAGAGGGCACTCAAACTGCATACCTCCGCCAGCGAATTATTATTATTTTATTATTATACAAAAAACCGATTTGCAGCTGCAAAGCTGAATTGCTTGGTTTACATTATTGTTCTAAAAATACAGTTTATAAAATTACAAGTTAAAGGCTAATAATTAAAATATGATTATATATTATATAGTTTACTAAGACTTATAGGTATTAAAAGATGCTACACTACTTGGTATATGGCTATTTTTAAAACGGTTGGTACAAGACCAAATGTGTGTAAAATTGTCGTTATTTCTAAGATTGTTGGTACGTTTGTCAGGGAGAAGATAGTACAATTTATGACTTGGTTTAGTCATTTTTTTAAAGTGTGATCTGCAAAGTTCATCTCGTCTTTGTGACAGACTTGGAAGCGGGATAACTTCCAAGGCCTTCCTGTAAGATAAGTCAGGATGAATTATTCTTAGTGCTCGGTTTTGGACCCGCTCGTCGTCATCTGAGAAAGGTATTGGGAAGCACCAAAGTTCCATAATTGGCAACCGTATTCGAGGACTGATCTTATGCAGGTAGTATAAACAGTTAAAAGGGATGTATGATCAAGTCCAGCCCGTTTTAATATGCGTAAAAAATATAGGCGCTTAGAAGCCTTGGATACAATATAGTTTATGTGTGTGTCCATTTCAAGTCTGCGGAAATATAAGTGCCTAGGATTTTTGCCGAAGATACAGGAACTAGTTCGTGATTGTTTACGAAGATTGGGTCCAGTTTTGGAGGATCTTTCGCAAACGAGATGATCATATCTTTGCACTTAGATTGATTAAGTTTCATGTCATTCTTTATACACCAGATGTTTATCGCATTAACAAGGGATTGCATCTTCCCTTGCTCACCTTTATTAATAACTTCAGAGACACTTGTATCATCCACAAATTTCCACCTTCGATCATGATCAGTGTAACCAAGTCATTTATCATAATTAAGAAGAGTATAGGGCCGAGCACTGTTCCTTGGGGTACCCCACCGTTTACTGCAGACCAATCTGAAAATACGTTACCCATTTTAATCCGCTGTCTCCTTCCGGACAAAAAGTCAGTTACCCAATTGATAACGGATGGGTTTATATCCAATTTGCACATCTTTGTGATTAGTATCTTATAGTTAATCCGATCGAAAGCCTTGCTGAAGTCCAGTAGGAATAAACGCACAGTTTTACCATTTCCATCGGAGTCAGCATATATGGAGTGGAGTAAGCTAATTAAGGCATCAACTGAAGAGGAACCGGGAATTGCTCCGAACTGTTTTGGATCGAGTTTCTGGCAGATGCTATCACGGATCCATTCTGCATTAAATGACTCTAAAACTTTAGATAACGTAGCGGTGAGAGATATTGGTCTGAGATCATTGTTAATATCATGTACTGGGTGGGTCTTAGGAATTGGGATAATGTCAGCCGCTTTCCATTGTGAAGGTACTTGAGCTTGGGCAATGGAGGCATTAAAAATAGATGCCACTGGTGTAGCAAGTTCAGCCGAGAATTTTTTTAGTAGCCAATTAGGTATACTATCAGGGCCTGGCGCTTTTGATATTTTAACTCTTTCTAAAGGCCGGCGCACACTAGAGCTATGTGCTTAGCAAAATGTCATTCGTGACTGTTGGCGTAAGGAGATAGCTCTCGTGTGCGGGCGATTTACGAACGACTTTTGTCATTCGTGCCAAGTTTGATAATTTCTGCCTCGCGTGCCAAAATCTTTCCGTGTGCGGCGAACGATAGCTATCTGCTTACGGATTGTCGTAACAGCGCATGCGTAGTATACGAAAGTAAACATCCAAGATGGCGGCGCAAAATGAATTACTGGCCGAGGCAATTTTAGAGGACAAACTTACTGACTATTTCTTTCACTGCACATTCCCTTTTGTCCCTATTTCTAAAATCTGCAGAACTCACATCGTATAAACATTTATATTCAGGCCAAAGTTCGACAAGTTTGTCCTCTAAAATTGCCTCGGCCAGCAATTCATTTTGCGCCGCCATCTTGGATGTTTACTTTCGTATACTACGCATGCGCTGTTACGACAATCCGTAAGCAGATAGCTTTCGTTCGCCGCACACGGAAAGATTTTGGCACGCGAGGCAGAAATTATCAAACATGTTAGATATTTGGCGTAAGTGGCACGAATGACAAAAGTCGTTCGTAAATCGCCCGCACACGAGAGCTATCTCCTTACGCCAACAGTCACGAATGACATTTTGCTAAGCACATAGCCTGCGAACAGGCCCTGGGTTGCGGGCGGCGACGGAACTATAGGTTTTCTTGGTAGTGGCGTTCGTATAGAAACGCAGGCTTCTGATTGGCTTACACTCGTTGACAAAATTACTAAAAATAGCAAATGTCAACAACAGCATTTTGAAGAATTTGAACTTTATTCATTTTAATATTATATATTATAAGACTATCGAACAAATAACACTAGAAATGGAAACCAAAAGCAATAGCTACGGAGCCCCATAAGGGCCATAGATTTATCTGCTGCTTTTTTTTAAATTCCGACTTTTTTTTTTAATTCCGACTTTTTTTTTTCGAATTCCGACTTTTTTTTTCGAATTCCGACTTTTTTTTAAATTCCGACTTTTTTTTTAATTCCGACTTTTTTTTTTCGAATTCCGACTTTTTTTTTCGAATTCCGACTTTTTTTTAAATTCCGACTTTTTTTTTAAAAATTCCGACTTTTTTTAAAATTCCAACTTTTTTTTAAATTCCGACTTTTTTTTTCGAATTCCGACTTTTTTTTTCGAATTCCGACTTTTTTTTTTAATTCCGACTTTTTTTTAAATTCCGACTTTTTTTTTCGAATTCCGACTTTTTTTTTCGAATTCCGACTTTTTTTTTTAATTCCGACTTTTTTTTTAAAATTCCGACTTTTTTTAATTCCGACTTTTTTCGAAGCTAAATATATTTGTCAGCCATGAGTGTCAAGTTGACAAGATGGAAGCCTCGATAGAAGTAGAAGCAAACAGCGAAGCTAGCCAGGTAATATTAATTTCATCATACTTGCATGCATGTATTGTCTTCGTAGTATAAATTAGTAATAATATGTATATATAATTGTACTATAGTTTATATAAAGTACGTATCTAAACGTATCTATATTAAATATTGATCATGTGTTTAGCGATCATGAGTCAGTCCCTCGGCAACATTTCTATGCAAAATTTCTACTGTTAACACAAAAACGTCGATATCTTAAATCAGGCTAAAACATGCAAACGTGTATTTAATTAATCAAAGTTTTGAACGATATTCAGGTACAAAAGCATGCATTTTGATTAACATTTAATATAACAATGAAACCGAATATTACACAGTCAGGTAGTCCAAATTGCTTACAACATTGGGTTTTATAATGTCGAGGTCTATGTACTATTTAAATACTGCTTTGTACGATTTATATAAAAAGTTTCGAAGGATTTTCAAGATGATTGAATGTGATAATTTAATGATGAATTACTGCAAAATTTAAGCACGACTAAAATCATAATATTTAATACTGCTATATAGTCTAGCGAAAGCGAGTTTGATACATGATTGTGTAAGAGGTTAAATTGTTCTCATTTTTCTTATTTAAAAGTGATTTGCGACACAGATTTTTGTTGTGTTGGTTTGTCGTTTCTTTTTATAGTGTGTATTATATCTAGCTCATTTTGGTTCAATATATTCTTTACGTGTTACATGTAAATACGATTTAAAATGTCTTGTTTACGTTTGCTATTTTTAGCAGTTCGCGTGACATAAAACCACTGCATGAAACTGACATTTGAACTAAAATTATTTTCGGGTAGGTCGCGTAGTTTTGAAAACAGGTGTAAGCAAATAAGCAATTAACCCATTGAGTCGCATTGTGCCCTGATGCACCCCACTTTATTATTTTACTATGTCTATACACCAGATTATTTTACTCTGTCTAATGCCAGCTGACTTTACTCGTCAAGGGGAAAGCATTTTTAATAGCGCTTAGTTAATAGGTTGATAAAAACTAAACTTTAAAACATTTATGTATATAGGTGAAACATTTTCTTCTTTCAATTGGTGTTACCCAGGATGTGGCACAGACATTTGAGGATGAAAAGGTTTGAATATGTCTAATTATGTTATCTTTTATATATTCTCACTTTGAAGTGAATATGTGCACATTCATTCATGACTATACTAACTGCGAGGAATGTTTTGCCTGAGGCCTTTTCATTAATTGCTCATAGGGGAGTTTATTTTAAGTAAAATTGAGATACTTTATCTTAACCTTGTTTCTAAACAAATAATAATTTAATAATAATAATATTTTAATATTAATTTAACAACAACAACAATAATTATTATTATTAATAATGGTTATTATTATTTTAATTAATATTAATAATTTTTTAATAATAATTTTTAATTTCTAATTTTTTTTTTACATATTTTATTTTTAATAAACACGCTAAAAATGCAACTGGATAGTACTTACATTAAACTGTTTCATAAATTTTCCAATACAACGTACAATTCATACACACCCCTTTGGAAATCTTCATCTACCATATCAATGGAAATTGAAAATATAAAATGTCTAACAAAATCTGAATTGCCAGCTTTCTGGAAGTTATTTGCCTGTCTATTTATACCCTGACTTTAAATTTTACTTTTAACGTTTAGTTGCCACAAGACTGCCTTATAGATGTTATCCAGCATGGGAATGTCAGTTTTGAGCTTCTCCATTTTATAGGAGATACTACACATTGTATCAAATAACTGCTGAAAATCTATAAATGATAACAAATGAGAAATACAAAAATTAAAAAATAAAACATAACCTGTGCAGAGTAAACTGATTATATTATCAGATAATACTTATATACTTAATAAATAACATTTTCTGTATAAGTGTATTTTAATAAAAATATATAAATGTTACCTATTTTAGATGACGTATAATGCCATATTAAAAGCGTCAGATGAACAACTGAAAAATTACCTTGGTCTCACAAGACTTGGTGATCGTTTGTCCTTGCGATCATTCTGTGAAAATCACCACGGCAAGAACGATGGATGTTCTAAGGCAGACACTGATTTAAGAAAGAAGCGTTTGATAGAAGAGCTAGCAAAAAAACGAATTAAAAAACAGCATACTGTACAGTCAGCTCAAAAAGGAATAAGCGTTGCTGCAAAGAGCACAAGGAAGGTTGAACTTTCCTGGCTCCACTGTCGTAAGGGAAGTGCATTCAAAGTAGTTAGAATGAAAGAAGGAGGTGGAACACGTAATGTTGATATCCCAAAAACTGCGAACAAAGAGGAAATTGTCAAAATTGCTGAAGGGGTGTTCTTCCCTGACGGAAAATCCTGTTTTGGAAAAGCTAGTGAAATGAAAGTTGATTTGTTCGATTTTAAGAAAGAAAAGATATCCAGCTCAATATTAGTAGATGATGAGAATGTTCCATTTACCTTAGGATTTTATATTGATTATTTTAAGTTGTCCAAAATCAGACTTCATTTATATACAGAGATAAAAGAAGACAGCGATGAGCATAGTGACGACTTGTTTGATTCTGATTCGGATCAGGATAGTTTTATGAATATTTCAATACTTCACAATCCACAATTACCAAACCGTAATGAAGAACCTGACATACTTCACAAAGATGGTTTAATTGGCTCATCAATACAGCGACAAGAGTTAAAAGAATTGATTGACAATGCTTATGAAGAATCACTGGCGATAGACCAGGCTAAATCATCTGTACATGCAGGAGCTGCTGACGAAACGGAAAGTCATCAAGAAGAAAGTAAGAATGTAGATGATTTGAAAAGAATTCGAAATGAAAGATTACCAAAGGAACCTTATGCAAGTGATCCACACTATATCGTTTCTGTAAGGCATTTGTCTCTCGGCGTCCTGACGCGTATGTTTTCGCTGGACGATTCCGTATATTCTATCTATGACTGGATAGGTTCGTTACCAGACTCACCAGAGCATTTTCAGTTGTGTACCTATTCAGGAGATTGTGTGTCTCCCAGTGAAAGTGTAAAATCTGTTGACAAGTGCATGCTTGTTATGGTTCCCACCATAGAACCTGTAATATTCTCTCCAAATGAGACAGTCAGTCTGAGAGGTTTTGGACCTCAAGGGGTATTGGATCCCATTACAGAACATTGCCCTAATAATTTTATGCAGGAAGATGACAACGGAGAAACAGATGATGATCTGGATCATGAATCGTAAGTTCTCAGTTTTTATTCTTATGAAAATTATTTCCAATTCTTTTAATAAATTTGAGAATATTTTGAGTTGGAACCAAAGTTTGTGTTATCGGCCACTTCAGCCTTCGATAGATAACACAAACCGAGGCCTTGCTAATTATTGTTATCGTACGAAAACCGAATTCAATAATTGTTTTATTATATATTCAAAAGCTACAACGAAAGCAAGAACCACCAGGATTTTCGCACGCTTTTTAGCCAGCAATGGACCGCACCGGGGCTTGGTAGCCACAGCGTGCAATAATACTTTTTTGGACCGAACTTCGGGCCACAAAAAAGTATTATTGCACACTGATGGCGCTAGCAGCTGAAATAAAGCGACGGCTTCAAGATACCGAGAATTATTCGACACGTTTTGGCCAATCATGAACGAGAACAGACTTCGAATAATGAATATATAATAACAGATATTAGTAGACCTCATGTTTCGCTCGATACTCTGGTTTAAATAAATGATGAAAAAGCCCAGTCGAATTGTAATCAAGACCCAAACGTTTCGACACTCCAGTCTAGTGTCTTCATCTGGAGTGTCGAAACGTTGGGTCTTGATTACCATTCAACTGGGCTTTGTAATTATTTATTTAAACCAGAGTAGCGAGCGAAACATGATTGATATAGCTGGTTGCAGTGAACGAACAAACTTTAAATTAGTAGACCTGTTTTGAATTTAACACAATCCACAGTTGAATGGTGAATTGGTGATACTTACACTGTGGATTCACTGGATTGTGAAGTATAAAGATTAGTTTCACTAGCGACATAACAAAATGTAAAACAAAGAAATGTTATGAAGTGTGCGACGTAACCATTGGCATTATGAACATAAGCACAACGGAAGCACAAGCATATAAGTACCATAAGCAAGCTAAGCTTGTGCTTATGGTGCATAAGCACCATATGCACAACATAAGCACAACAACACTTATCATGGTTGTCAGATGTTGGGATCCTGGGTAGCGGCGCTACCTGCAAGTTACTGAAGCTAACTGCAATCCTTGGCCAGAAGGTCTTATGCATGCTTAAGTAGAAAATTTCATTTTTTCCGAATACATTCCGCAATATTTACCGACCAGATTTAATAAGAGTCGTACCCAAGACGTAAATTCATCAAATGATGCCATCCATATCAAAAACTTAAAATTTTCTGTTCTGTGGCCGAATCCTATTCGTCAGCCGACAAGATTGTCGGCTTGATATACGAAAATTTTTCAGCAATTGGGTTTGAGCAAATTAGTGGACACTCAATTTTGACAATATGAAACATAACTCAAAAACATTTCTTCTGTGCCTGGTCGCAATTTGTAAGCTTCGCAAGTTTGGACTACGCAGAGGGGACTTGGTGGGGATTTAGTGGCTTTTCAGTGTCATCGAATTGGTTTTGTCATTCTGCCGAATTACGCCGGGAAGATAATGAGGATTGTTAGGGGATTGTCTGCAGCCATTTTGTACTATTTTGTACCGTTTTGTCCAATGGAATCCCCTGGTTCTACTATTTTATACCATGTGACAAAGGTCAAGATGGCGTGCTCGCAAGGAAGTGAAATCGAGAGGAATTTTATAAATATATTATTAATTTAATTTCTTTTCAATCTATATGCTAATACCGGTTAATATGTCCATCCATCCATGGAATCTATTGTCGTGGAAAGCTCGACATTTGTTTGTTTATATTAATATGTTTTTATTGTTCTGAGTTTTGGAACAAAATATTAATATTTTAAAATGTGGACGATTTAATGCGGCGGCCCGGAGATTGTCGAGGAGATATTATGCAGGAGATAAATTCGCTCACACGACTTACAATTTCCTCCTGGGGGTGGGGCATTTTTTGTCTTTTGCTAGAAAAGTTTGTCCCACATTGTGGGGCATTTGTCTGTTTTGGTACGATATTCAAAGCCAATCCCCACCTATATTCGGGAGGGGGGAGGTCGGTGTTTACTTTGACTGGTGCATTATGCGTATGAAAACCAGGCTTAATAGTTATTATTAATTTGACGATTTATTTTAATTATTTATAGGCACAAGATCCCCTTAGCTGCGATCAAGGTATGAGTATAATAAGTTGACTGATATTTTTTTATTTCAAAATCACTGCTGATACTCTCAATCGTCTTTGCCCTTTTGTCCAACGAATGATATTAATAATGATAATAAAATTGACCTGTCTGAAACAAACTTGTTGGAAAAGTTTCCGTATTTTGGTGTAATTTTTATCTACAAAAGCACTGCTTTTGTTCCATAAGAATGTTAATTGAACTTCATGTCGCAAACTTATAATAAATTCGAAATTGTGCTTTCGGTGATTTCAGATCAAACTGTCTAATTTCAACAACAATAAATCCTGGTTTCCATATGGTCGTAATGGTCGTAAAAATAGAGTCACGATCTTTCTCAGCGGTCAGTTTGTAATAGTTTATACCTGTAAACCACATATAAAACATAAATATTCTCTATTTATAATTATCCGCGTATCTTCAGTTCTAAAATGTTGTATTTCGGCTGATAATAAAGATCGTGACTCAATATCTTTACGACCGTTATCATATGGAAACCTAGCTTAAAACTGCAGATGTATGGCAGTATGCGAACATCATTATTGACGTACAGTACATCGTTATTGAGATATATCAGTGTTTTGATAATGCATTTCAAGCATTTGACCTCACTTAATTGTGTATAATGATGCCTAATGCTTTATGAGAAATTGAATACTTTAATAACTCATATATGCGTGACGTCACCTGAAGTGCGTTATCAAAAGAGCTTAAATACCGGAACATTAATTAACAACTAAGCACAGACTGTATATCTGTAAAAGAAGTTATTCTCTAGTCTTACGAGTTTATTAATTTTTAAAACCATATTAATTTCCGTTTCATATGCACTTTAATGTGTTTTTTATGCTGTTTTTGTAGACGGGACTGAAATATGGACGAGAGCAAGCACTTGATTTACTTGAAACAGTGCCCGACATTACATTGGAGAGAAGTAATATAACCCAAACGTTATTCAATATATATAAGTCAAGTGATTTGTGTAATACATTCGTGAACTTTGTCCTTAAGGACGAAATGGCACAAGATAGGGATGGCG